TGGATGGGTGGGTGGATGCGTGGTTGGGTGGATGGATCCGTGGGTGGATGGATGGATGGATGGGTGGGTGGATGGATGGGTGGATGGATGGGTGGGTGGACGGGTGGGTGGATGGAGTATGACTTTGGGGAAAGAGAAATCCTTATCCAAAAAGAAGTGCTGGGGAGTTGCACAGAGTAGCAGAGCAGCGCAGAGAAATTTGCACTCTTGCAAGCAGAGGAAAGTGGAAGAGGAGGTGGAAAAGTTCCCTTTCCTGAGTTTGCGCGCCTCCAGTCTGAGGAGAAGGGGGCTGCTCCAGCCGCGCCTCCCTCCCTCTGGCCCAGGCGAGGGCAGCAGCTGGGCGGGCGCCCGGAGCCAGCCTCAGGCCTCTGTGCAACGTGAGCCCCCGCGCCCGCCCTGGGCCCTGCCTCGGGCCCCTCCTCCTTGGTGGGGGCGGAAATCCAACTCGTGGCCCTGGCCGCGCTGCTCCAGCTAGCTGGGGAGGGCGGGATCCAGGCCAGGGGTGTGGGGGGACCGGAAGAGGGGGGAAGAAAGTCGGTGTGAGCCCCCACAGGGAGCTGGGCCAGAGCTCAGATGGGAGACTGGGCGGGGGGGAGTTCAGGACTGACACAGCACCAGGGCTCCCTCAAGCAGCACCCTCTAGGCCCGAGGTCCCCAGAGGATGCAGAAGTGAGGCTCCCCTGTCCTCCAGCAGTGATATGAGTGACTCGTCACCTTGATTTCCCACATGAGAGCTAAAGACATCGCCTCAGACTTAGTATCTGAGTGCTGTGCTTTACAGCAGCCCAGTTCATGGTAGCCAAGCCCCATAACCTAGATGCCCATGGGCAGATGAATGGATAAGGAAAATGTGGTATATATACACATGGAGTACTACTCTGCCATGAAGAAGGGTAAGCTTGAGTCACAAGTAGGAAAATGGCTGCACCTGGAGACCATGATGTTCAGTGAAGTAAATCAGACACAGGAGCATACATGTCACGTGCTTTCACTTATGTGAGAAACCCAGAGAATAAATACATTGAAAACCAAAATAAAAGATAGGTACTATGTTTACTTTTTCTTTTTTTTTGATACCGAGAATTGAACTTGGATCCTTGCGCTTGTGCAACAGGTGGTGAAACCACTGAGCTAAATCCCCGGCCCAAAGACAGATACTATGAAGCAAGGAGGTGGCTCTTTTGCAAAACAGAAGGGGACAAGAGATAGAGGGATGGAGGGGAAGGGGACATAAAAAATAACCAAGATGGGACCCGAGGCCGTACAGATTCCCCGGGATGAATGTATTTATTCTGGGTCACCATCACACAGAGCTTTAAAATCAGCAATGAGGTATGAGGATCCAGCTTTCTTTTACGGAGCCAAGCATGCAAGAGATTTGCAGAAATGTAGAGCAAGGCAGATGTTCACACTGAATGTTTTAGGGGGGAAATGGACAGATCTTGAAACCATCATGTGACATGTAATGGATCAATGCGGAAAGATCAATATGCCATGGTATCTCTTGTATGGGGAAAAAAAAAATATATATATATATATAAATGAATTAAGGAGTAAAATGAAGGAGAGATTGTAGGAAACAGGGGGGTAGACATTTGGAACAGGGGGAGGGGATTGGAGAAGACTACAGTGAGGGAGGGGAGGAAGACAGGGTAAAGAGACCAGAAATGGTCAAAAAATTATAAATATATATTTTTTATATTTTTACATAGTAAAAATTATAAATCACATAGCATATGTATGGACCAATTCCCCCAAACAAAGTAACTACTCAGCATTACAAACATACATGAGTGAAAAACAATTTAAAGAGCAGATAGCACACATTGGAGTACTATGCAGCCCTGAGGAAGGATAAACTTGAGTCATTTGTAGGAAAATGGATGCACCTTGAGACTATAATGTTAAGTGAAACAAATCAGATACACAAGCTTAAACACAGTATGGTCTTGCTTATATGAGAAACCTAAAATATAAATACAGAGCACAATAAAAGAAGGGATGGAAAAGGGATAGTTGGATGGATGGGTGTATGGGTTGGTGGATGGTTGGATGGATGGATGGATGGATGGGTGGATGGGTGGATGGATGCGTGGGTGGATGGATGGATGGGTGAATGGGGGGTAGATGGGTGGATGGATGGGTGGATGGGTGGGTGGGTGAATGGATGGATGGGTGGATGTGCCCAAGAGTTTAAGAGGTGTTATGTGCATGCACCAAGTCCACACAAGGAATGTGCTCATTCAGTAGTACAAACATGGACTCATAAAAGAATAAATTCAAAACATAAGGAAAGAAAAGGAGCAGAGGTGTCAAAGAATTCCTTACTGCAGCCATGATGACTTCCAAGGTGAGTGAGCAACTCTGACTCCTAACTTCTGCTCCTTTCCCCTCTCTGTATCTCCTGGCAGATGTCCAGGGAACCTTCAATCGATACCTTTGGGGTCCTCTGTCCAAAACCTATTGATTAAACTTAAACCTTCCTTTCCTACTTTTATTCCTTTTATTTCTTTCTCTTGTCTAATTGCTGTGGCTAATGTTTCCAAAATTATACTGAACAGGAGTGGTGATAGTGGGCATCCTTGTCTTGTTCCTGATCTTAGTGTGAAGGATTTCAGTTTTTGACCACTTAGTATGATATTGGCTGTCGGTTTTTCATAGATAGCCTTAGTCAGGTTGAGATTGAGACCATGTATTCCAATTTTCTGTAGAGTTTCTATCATGAATGGGTGTTGGGTTTTGTTGAATCCTTTTTCTGCATCTACTGAGATGATCATATGGTTTTTGTCCTGGACTCTGTTAATATGGTGTATGACATGTATTGATTTACCTATGTTGAACCATCCTTGCATCCCTGGGATGAATCCCACTGGATGCACGTTGAGGCCATACTCTTCTGTGAAATAAATAGGAAACACATGTGTAAATACCAAATAGTTTCTCTAGTGTGAGAAACCAAAACTATTAATAGGATCAAAATGTATAACAGATAGTGTGAAATAGGAAGAAAAGGTCCAAAGGGGAAGGGGAAGTGGGAGGCATAGGGGAAAGGAAAGAAGGGAATGGAATTAATATGAGAAAAGGAAAAAATGGAAACAAAGTCTTTG